CCCCCCCCCCCCCCCTCCCAACCCAAGCCGCCGGGAAAGGTCAACTTCCCGAGCGACTTAAGCATTAAGCAAAAAAAAACACTCCAAGGTTCGTGTGATATTAACGCCTTATTTATTTTAAGCAAAAAACAAAATTGGAAATGAGTGATACACATTTAGTTTAACCAAGAGAGGATATATAACCAACGTTATTCGTGGGAAAATGAGCTTCGTATGCTGTTTGAGTTTATTGCCACGTGAGTCCTTTTGACCTTGTGAACACATATGTTGTGGTTTAGCTTTATCCTTTGTTAAAAGTTTCATTTTCTTTTGTCCCTGGGTATGACAATGAATGACAATGAAAAGTAAAAAGGAAAATTTAAGCCAGGGAAAAATTGAACCACAACACGTGAGAACTTATGATGTCTTTAATTTTCGGCTCCGTTGTACTCTAACTATCATTGTGAATGGATCTGTAAACTGCCCTGAGAGTAGATAAGTTCGTAAACGTGGGTAAATATCGATCGGTGCCGATTGGACATAGCCAGTATTTAATGTGAAAAAACTGATGCATCTTAAGGAACTATACAAATATAATTTCGTGATTGTTTGTGTACCACATTTGTTCATGCTAAAATTCCTGGAAAACAAATATAATTTTTTGCTGAATGTCAACGCATTTTAATGTGATTAAGTCCGTGGTCTGCAGGCACAGCAACATGTTACCTCACCTAGCTGGGATCTCGTCACATTTTTCAATTGATATTATAACTTGAAAAAAGCTCGTAATTGCAAAATATAAAAGCTTAATGCTCATAAATATTTGACGAAGGAAAAGCTGCAATCATTACTCGTTGGACTATTGCACAATTAGTAACAGCTTTTTAAACAGTATTGTTAATTATTAATGTTCTTCTTTTCATATTTGTGCGTATTGTGAGAGGTGGTTTAACCTGTTCGACCACGGTTATTATTTTACATAACAGTTTGTAACGGAGGATATTAGCATAACATTTAAGGGATTTTACTTTATTATCAATTTTTTAAATCTCAAAATACTTTGAATCAGATTTCTCACCCACACGTAGCCTGTGTGAGCAGGTTCTAAAGTAATAGGGACGTAGCTAAATAAATTCCTCGCTAAGCCCCGCTCGTGTTTCTCATCAGTTTTCACTATTTCTGCACATTACTATCTTGGGGCCTGGTACACACCAACACCCGACTGCAAGGCGCAACATATTTACAGAATTATGCAGTAGCATATTTCCAGATGTTAAAATGAAATTTATTGCTGAAAGAAATAAATGGTTGCTGCCATCGTCATCGTTATGTGAAAGTTTACAGGGATTTTAAGCAGCGACGTTTTTGAGCAACGGGCGTCAACCGGAAATGAGTTTTTTTTTCTCCTTTAGTTTGCCCTAACGCGACGTGCTTCCCTCAAGAGAGATTAAGATTCACGTTTACGCCAAACGGCAGACATGAATTTGTACCACGTGATCAAGTTTTCCCCTTATTTTCCGTTTACTCTTTATTGCTTCTACACAAAAATAAGTAGTTTTATGCCAATTTTAACCATAGAAATCGTTCGGGACTGTTTTTATCTGCTTATTTTCTATTCTGAGAAATTCTCAACTTGAGTCTGACGTTTGCCGTTTGCGGTAAACGTGAATCTTAATCTCCGTAATGTCTTTGCTTAAACTCCCTACTAGTATAATGTCCGGGAAGAGGCAGCGACGCTGAGTCGACAACTCGAACTCTGGAGTCTGTGGAGTTGACTCAAGCTTCGATCACACCCAAATTCAACTCCGTTGCCATGTTTTTAAAGAGCCAACTCCTTCTTCTCCGGTCAGGAGGGTTATTGAATAGAGTGCCTGGTAAAACTAGTTAGTGCGCATGCCGGGCTGAGAGCACTTCTATTCTACTTATTCTAACAAAGGCAGTTTAGGTTTCTGGGAAACTACCCACCTACCCCTCCCAAAAACTAACATTGACACCTACTTCTCACTTAGGGCAAAATAATGGCTTAGGGGAGAGGTAGGTGGACAGTTTCCCAGAAACCTAAATAGATCCGAAGGAGGAAAGGAGGCTCTACCTGAATCGCGTCAATCCTTTGAAGTTGCCGCAGCCCAAACCTCTCTACTAGTCAATCTTGTTTTCTCTCGTCAAACTGGTTTTTTCGAGTGCGAGCATCCGTTTATTGATAAACCGATGGTCACAACTGAGCCCGCTGTACCAGGCACTTACGGTACTTTCATCTGGGCTCGAAACTATATCCTATTAACATGCCGGGCGTGTTCAACAAAGATCTTACTGGATTCAAGCAGAGTCTTTCTTGAGTCAACAAAATCGAGCGAGCGAAAGAAAGTCAAAGAAAGGCCCAGCTTTGCTGGGTGAGTGAAGAAAGCTTAACTAGCATAATAGACATCTAGTGTTTCAAACAACGGTTCGGATGTTTCCAGAGGGGGGTCGGGTAGGGGTTTGTCGAAACCTTCTTTTCCAACAAGCCAATAAGTAGTAACAAGACCAAGTCTCTGTGGAATAAAAACGAGTTGCGTCATTACTAATAGTGTTCTACAACAAAATACATCGTTCTACATTAATATTCTACTGCAAGACTTTTAGTGTAGCCTTAAAAACAACTTCCTAGGGATGAACTGGGTTTAGGAAAATTTAGACATGAAAGACGATACATCACACACTAGTATACTATACTCTCATCAGATACATATCTAGAAATGGAGAAGTAAGTTTAAAAGAGAGTCGGTAGACCGATTTATAGTTTTCAGATGAAACGGCGTGTGCATGAGCTTCTCAAATGAACAGAAGAGAATTAAAGCTTAAGTTCGAAAAACATGTCCATCAAAATTCGATATCTAATAATTCCCTCAAGATTTTCTTTGTATTCAGTCGATTACTGTAATAAGAAGAGCTATTTGCGTTCTGAGCTTTCTGAAGGGTGAGGGGTGGGGAGCCTCCCTAATATCCCCTCCCCTCCCCTATGCTCTGCTACATGATTATTTCTCACCTTGATCTGTACTTGTCCTCTCTCACTGAGATAATATCCACCTAACTCCACCAATCTTGAGTGACAGTCACGGCTTACGTGAATGCGAAGAGCTGCAGCCGTGAAATGGAATAAAAATACAGTCAAACCCCGTTAAAACGGACACTGTGGGGGTTATAAAAAGTGTCCGTGGTCCGTATTAAAGGAGTGCCCATATAAAGCGGGTTGAATTAAGAGAAAGTGTAAGGGCTTTCTTTCCCCAGGGACAAAGCAAACTGTCAGTAAAAATGAAGTGTCCGTATTAAGTGTCCGTAAAGCGGGGTTTCACTGTATTTCATAAGAGTTCTCGAGAACTATAGAATCAGTTAGTGACACAGTTTGTGATAGGATATGCAGTTCTAATTATGATCCTGTGGATAGAAGAATACTATAGTGTGGCCATCCAAATCGACCCTCCTCAGCAGTACCTTCACAATGCATTATTTCTTTCTCAGTATTTTACGAAATAAAACTTGAAGCGTTTCTAATGAATTACGTCTTTGGCCACCACTACGAGTGGAAGGTAATTAAGGAACCTCGCTAGGTTATAAAGTCGTTTTGCTACATAATGAAGTCTATTGGCTGCTTAGTTCTAAAGTCGTTTTGCTGCATCATGAAGATGATTCACTTTATAATAAAATTTAAGCTTCTACATACCTTGAGTTCCTGTTGGTGGCATTTTAGTAGTTCACCCTAAACTGTTTCAAAACAGTTCAATAAAAAAAAGTTGCTTGTAGCGAATCGACTTTATGATGCAGCGAAACGACCGTAAATCTTTGACAATGGGCAAAGAATTAAATAACGGTTTTAAAGGGCCAATTGTGAATCACCCAATGGACTTACGTGTCGAAAGAGAGACGCTATTTATTGTTCATTTAAGACCCTAAAAAGGTGGATAAAAAAGATTTTTTTTTCGCACAATGCCCGAATACTTACGCAGTCCAAAGTTCTCCATTTTAGATGCGATGTGAACTGTGTGTCCGAACAAACAGAAACGAGGCATAGTTATACCAACCACACCAGCGACCACTGGACCTGAACAAACAAAGGACCAACAAAATGATTGACATAGTTTTCCGCCAAAGGTTCGGCGCTGAAGGCTTAAATAAACTGCGCAATGCAAGAAAGGGGCAACAGCAACATTTTCCATGTTTGTTTTATTGGTGTTCCAAAAATTTTGTAAAATAAATGTTTTGTCTAATGTACCTGTGTGTATTCCAATCCTGAGCTGCAGTTGATGCTCCGGAAGGTGCCGCAAACGAAAGAAAAACATATGACTTAGTAATTCCAGCGCCATACTTGCAATCTCCCCTGCATGCTTGATGCCATTCAACTTCGGACAACCACTGACAACAACATACGCATCACCAACTGTCTCTACCTAGATGGAAGAACATTTCAAGAAAAAGTAATGTACTTCAATTCAACTTACCACGAAAAATAGATGACATAACGCGACTGGAGGAAACAAATCATCCGGTGTAAGGATAAAATTCTTATGAGGTTGCCCTTCAGTTTAAGATAACGTATTTTGGATCCCAAAAAATGGTTTGTTAATGAATTATGGGTTAATGCTTCCACTGTTTTTTTGTATAGAAAACTAATGTAGTTTTTGCATGCGTCTGTTTGTAAATCAAACGCCTAAAAAAAGGGAAAAAGAGGTTTTGCAAAAGAAAAAAAGGTCAACAAATGATCGAGAACCAAAGAAATTGATACATGCGTCATCATTATTTTTCGAAAGCAGCTTTGAGGTTGAAAACGCTCAAGATAAAGGCTCTAAAATGGCCTATACCGACCTTGTAGACGTCAAATCGTGTGATGATTTCATCAAACGCAACGTTAAGATCGTTTAAGAAGTCCACAATCTGTCAAGGAAAGAAAGCCAAAGATCATGGTTGATAAAGAGAAAGGAAACAAAGATAAGAACCTAAGAGCTCTGGGTGTGGAAGCCACGGAAACTTACCTCAATAGGTTTGCTGCAAGAGGCCAGCTTGGTGAATCCAACAATGTCACTGAAAAACATGGTGACTTCTTCAAATTCCTCAGCTTCGACAGAATCATGAATCTTAAGTTGCTCAGCGACCATCCTAACCAAGCAAGAATCAGATTCAGAATGGGAAGGTTTGTGCGAGACAAGACATAGAGGCAAAGAAAAGCTTTTTATTGATCTAAAAATAACTTTCATGATATTCACATATCCCAAGGGTCACACTGGGTGTTTTCTCTTGCTAAGAGGAAATCCTCTGCACACACTGCAACTGCGACATTTCATATTTGCCTCCATCGAGCGGTAACTGAACGGAAGCTATGACACCTTAAAATAGTAGCGAACCGACAAGTTATGAAACTTACGGTGGAAGCAAACGATTCAGCAGTTTATCAGTTCGCTCTTTTTCCTCGTTAAGCTGCCTTGTTCGCTCCTCCACAAGCTGCTCCAAATGATTAGCATGTTTTTCCATCATGGACACCATGTTCTCAATAATGTTTGATCCTCTGTGAAGAAAGCAGAGATAAAAGAACCAACCAACCATGTTAAATTGTTTCCACTATGACAGAGGCTATCCTGTTGAGAGTTGGGTTTCAAGGAAATTGAATGTAAAAAGGGGAGCTTCTGTTAAAGAGAATATCCTTCCCTTTTCTCTCCTATGTAGACTGAGGAGCAGGAAGGGTAGCAATGACAATTACAGTTTAGTCTTATTGTACCCCAAAATACAAAGCCAAACCTAGCAAAGTTGTAAATCTCCCTATATGTATTTGCGCAAGACTGTAAAGCCGTTGGACAATAAATCTATTTGTGTGTGCGGGTGTGTGCTTGCTCCAAATGATTAGCATGTTTTTCCATCATGGACACCATGTTCTCAATAATGTTTGATCCTCTGTGAAGAAAGCAGAGATAAAAGAACCAACCAACCATGTTAAATTGTTTCCACTATGACAGGGGCTACGCTGTTGAGGGTTGAGTTTCAAGGAAATTCAACGCCAAAATGGGAGCTACTGTTAAAGAGAATATCCTTCCCTTTTCTCTCCTATGTAGACTGAGGAGCAGGAAGAGTAGGAATGACAATTACAGTTTTAGTCTTATTGTACCCCAAAATACAAAGCCAAACCTAGCAAAGTTGTAAATCTCCCTATATGTATTTGCGCAAGACTGTAAAGCCGTTGGACAATAAATCTATTTGTGTGTGCGGGTGTGTGCGTGTGTCCATAGGGCTTTTCCCTTAGAAAATGGCTTGGGACAAAGTTGCACCAAATTAATCATATAAAACTCACCCTGTAAAAAAAATTAAGGAAAAAGAAATGATAAATGAAGCGTGCACGTTAGCTAACGTTCAATGAACACCACAACTTGCATCATAAGGTACGAAGTCCATCCCCCCCCGCCTAAAAAAAATGGTATACGCGAAGGTGTACGTGTGGGTCAAAATTAGTCTTCCCGCTGAAACAGTCCCAAAGTGCAATTCGACACAACACCGACCCAGTCTCCTGCGCAACCTAATAATGGGCAATGTAGCGTCCAGTACCTCTACAATGACTTGTAATACCACTGACCTGCCACTTATCTTCTTGAGCCGCTCAACAATCCGAAAAAAATGGGGTCGTTCCTCGGGATCATCACACCAGCAATCCACGATCAGATCCACAAATTCCGGTCTCACATCCACGCGTGTCAAGTCTGGGCGAAAAGAAGGATCCTCATAGGCCACTACACGTTGAATGATCTCTGAAAAAATAAAGTCACGCGCCTGTGTATTGGTGTCACGCGAGTGTTTATTGGCGTCCAATTGTTTTATGTCAAAAAAAAAAAGCAAAAATAGTCGTCGGCCACAATGGCAAGATACATTTAACAATAAGTGGTTTGCGTTTAGAGGTAGGGGTAATGATAGCCAGATTACCTTTACAGTCCAGATTGCAATCCAAAAATGGTTTGCATCGAGTTGAGATTTCTTGAAGAATGATTCCGTAGCTGTACACGTCACCTTTTTGTGAGAACCCTGACTTTTCGCCCTTGTTGAAGTCAATGTGTTCTGGCGCTGTCCATAACAGATCTGTTAGAAGTCAGTCAAAATTACATTAGAACGCAACATCAAATGATGTATAACTAATGCAGAACTCTCATTAACAAAACGACGCCTATTAAAGGGAGCAAACTTAATTTACCATTTAGTTAAAGACAAACAAGAAAAGACTTACCGAGTGGAGGAAGTCGAACCTATGACTCTAATTTTCGCTTCAACGAAGGCTCCATGTGCGAAACTTTGCGTAACGGCATCCCCATCCATCCTTATAACGGAAACCGGTCATTTCGATAAAAAGTCGTTTCGATACGAACTCAAGCAGTGAGATTGCAAAAAAAAAATCGTTTACTTCAAGTATTGTTTGCGCGTGAACAACAAAAACATTTTGGGTGAATACTCTTCGTTCTTTAAGCCAATGACGTGAAACTGTTTGCATCTCGACTGAATAAACTTGTATCGAAACGGCCTCCCCTCAGAGGACCGCACCCACTTAACCCCTGACTTGTTCAAAGGTGATAGTCAATCACATACATACCCTCGTTGGTTTTGTTGGTGTCCGTGTAGATCCTTTCTTGTCCTGCTTTAAATTTATTCAGCCCCCAGTCTGTAATGCTTACTACCCAGTGATTGTCAATCATGCAATGACGAGAGGTAAGATTACCGTGAAACTTGACGGGACTGTTGTGCAGATACTTCATGCCCTGCAAAGGAAGTTTCCGTTTTAGGTATCCTCTGTCTCTTTCAAGATATATATCTCAATGGGATAGGAGTATTATGGGAAAATTAAATGGGGATGTCCAACATGCTTTCTGAAACTTTACACTAGCCTGGGACTAGGCTTCTCGGTTGGAAAAAAGGGCGAATAACGCGGCGAGGGAGGCGAGCAGGAAGAATGTGGCAAACCAAGTGCGGAACGTTGCGCCGTTCACCCCGTTGTGATTTACCTTTTCCCAACCAAAATGAAAGCTAAAGTAGTATGAGGGAGACCAAGATAAATTCAGGCCACTTGGCCTTGCTCTCTCATGGTCATCATACCCAACCAATCACAAAGCCCCTGGGGGCAGGCAAAAATCCTGGCTCTTCGAGCACTGGTAATCCTACAACGTTTTCTCTAACTTTCTTTGTGGGATATTTGGTCAAACACTGTTCACCCGTTTAGTCACCTCAAGTTCTTGTTTGATCACTTGGCCGGGTGTTTACTCACCGCTGCTATGTCAATAGACATTGACAACTTGAAAGCATGATCAATCTTGTTCTCTTCATTTGCCAACACTTCCTGTAAAACATGAACCAATCAACACTGCAATTAGTTTGTGTTGAATATTAGATCGTGGAGTATGACTTGTTCTTGTTAGATGCTAGTCGACCAAGGGAAATGTTTACTTGGAGAGATGGTGCACTGAAGACGCTAAGGCGTTAGTGTTTTATTACAAGAGAATCTTCACTTTCTAATTCCTCATTTTTGATAGTTCTATCCAGACTTTGTCATAAACATGTACAGACCTGCAGGCTTCCTTTCTTGCAGTAGGACCACACTAGAAGGATATTCGGTGATTCGATACAGGCACCAATGAACGGATTTAGGTTCTCGTGGCTCAAGTCTCGCACCTTCACAAAATGAACGGAGAGGAAGTATAATGATCAACAGATAACAAAATAGGAAAAAAGGAAATAGGAACTGGGAGAAAGGAAGGAGCGGGGGGGGGGGGTGGGAGACGAAGGGAAGAAACCAACAGGCGTAGTGCCATTTGACTTTCGATATAATTTTACTCTTTGAGCTCAAGACAAACATGGCTTCGAAACTATCTCTTCTCTTTGTTCCTTGTTCCAGCACTGGAGAGCACGTAGTTTTGTCAAGAGCCATAATGGCTCTTGGTTTTGTGGGATAGGTTAGCTTTCTCGAGACTCTGCGCATCAGCATGATTTTCATGCACCTTATTTAGAACGTGGCTTGGGTAGTATAGACAACCTCGTTCCCAGCGTTCTCTCGCACAAGTATTCCCTGAAGATACCCTGGGAACGATGCTGGTGTCAATGACGAAAGGAAATAGTTACCTGTTTTAACTCAATGAGAACATCTCGCGTCAGTTGGACACTGCGTTTTCTGAGGCGTTCAACAGCCACTGGCTGCCCCTGAAATTAAAGGCTAAGAAGGTGAAAAACCGAGGAACAAAACAGAAGGCATACAGGCCATTTTAAAGGCTGTAAGTGGGTTTGTCTCACAAGCTTTCAAGACAGAGGGCACCAACCTCGTACCCAGCCCCTTGCGCACTCCAAAGAATCGGAAGAGGAAAGACCTGGGTACGAGGTTGCGAGGTTACGAGGCTGTTTTATGGCGCGCAAGGAACCAAGAACCTCAAACCAACGGGGACTCATGAAGGCAAAGGCAAATAACAATAACTGCAAATGATGAAGGCAGTCGGGATGAGTTTAGACTCAAATACTATCTTACATGCAGCGAGCTCCTTTCTTACTCTAGCAACATCTCTGTTTATAAGTCCTTTCCAGATTCATCTATCCAAGAATCTCTCCAGTCTTTTCAATGATTCGTGTCTTATGTATGAGCTGCACACCACTAACCTGATAATCTCCAATGACAGTGTAAACTTGCCGTGTGCTGTCATCAGGTTGGGATTGTGTCGAACTGTTGGCTTGACTCGGACGTACTATCTGACCTTGCTGTGTGTTCGATGGACCAACGGTCTATACAAATGCAATTATAAGACCTTAATAACATTTTCCATTAAGGTGACTGTTTGCAAAATCAAAGGTGACTGATTCTTCTTGGAGATTTTTATCTATCTTCCACCTTTTTTCGACAACAGTAAATTTCCGCGGGATATGATATTTCTAATTTTCACAAATGGCTGGAAATATCGTGAAAATCGCGAAAATCAGATCCCACAATACTTTCAGTGATACCACTCAGTAACCCTCCCCTAGGTGGAACTCCTTGGAATTTCCTGTGGAAGGTGCGGCATGCCTTCTGAAAACTTCACCCTATTTCACACCAAACATGTAATTTTCCTTAACCCTATTTCAGACCTGAATTGCTGTTCTCACTAAGAGATAAATAATAAAAAATTACGCCTATTCCAGAACGTGTCTCAAAAGGGCACAAAACCGGACCCTATTTTAGGAAAAAACACACCCAATTTGAAACCAAAAGGGGTCGAAAACCACACCCTTTGGCATTGCACATCCGTTTAAAGCTTAGGTAACGGAAATCCTCCTCCTCGTGATAATCCCTAATTCAACTCTTGCTAAAAAAATCTGCTGTGAATTTGCCAGGCCTTTATATTGGACACATTTTGTTAAAGGCCTACAGTCTGTCAATGTTATGCTGTTCAGTGTGGTTCTCCCTACCATGGCATGGCCGGTAGGTCCTGCTCCAGTGGCTCTGTTAAAAATTGCAAGCATTCCCACGGGCTTTGCTTCCTGCTGTTCTTGTCCTTTGATACTCAGATCTTCATATTTTATCTTCCACGTCATGTTCTCAGCTAAGTCTGTCTCATATCGAAGCTTTCTGGGAAATTTAAAAGGAGTGAAACAAAATTTCAAGCTTACATTTTTCTTTGAAAACTGCTAAAAGGCATTGTGTGTCTAGTTTTCACCTTGTGGGGACAAAGGCATTTCTTTCATATTTGCACTAAGGAAACTAAAAAAACGCGTGGATGAAAAGACCTGAACACACCCCAATAATACTAACATAAACATAGTAGGGGAGACCCCGGGGAGATTGATTTTCCACTTGAATGTGAAGTAACAATCTCTTGCAATGACCACCCCTCCCTCCCACCTACTCCACACACCCACATAAACTCACTTTCTATCTTCCATTGATTGTGGGGTTGTGGGAGGGCTCCTTGTCAAGATAGTGCCCATCCACATTGGGCAGGTCTGTGCCTAGTTCAGCTGGTAAATAAGTAAGCTCCAAAAATCAGACACAAAACGCTTCGGTTTCAGTAAGTAGGGTAGAGAAATTACCTGATGATGATAAAGAACATGAACGCTAGCACTACAACACCAGCCGTGGAAGCTCCTATAACAACATTTACAAATCTGGCCGCTAGAAAAAAATGGAACAACTAATCATTAAACATCATCAAAATGACCTTACTTATGTCAACCACTGGCAGAGGCGACCACTGGATTCTGAAATCGTATTGTAAGTTAATTAAACCAATGAAAAAAACAAGTGCGTTACTTTAGAAACGACTAAAACGAGAAGGGAACTGGAATTGTGTCCCACCATTGTTTCTTTTATCGCTACTGGGGACACGCCGATCAGCTATAGAGAGGAGAAGTCGTTACGTCACGTTGCCATGGTAGCAGAATTTCTGGATGATAACAAACCCAAACTGTCACACTGTGACTCACACTGTTTCAAACTTTACGTCACTTGTCACTAGTCATTTGTCACTTTAATTTGACAAATGTTGGCGAAATTTTCTGGGGTTGAACCCGAAAGGACTGCATCTAAGTTTACTGGTTTGTTCACCCACTCCATAAAGCTTTCACGTGAAATGAGGAAGATTCATGTCGCAGTCGTGCAACGATTTCTAAGAAATGTACAAAAAAGCGTGATGCACGTGCAAAGTTGTTCCGCTTATATAAACCCATTGTTTTTTTTACCGTTTTCGTTGCCTTCGCCGTCACCCTTGTCGTTGCAAAAGCTCCCTATTGTTGTGATCCAAAAATTTGGTACCATAGTAACGTGACGTCACACTTGTCCTGTCTATTGAACGTTTTTTGCCTGTCCCCAGTAACAGTCCCAGACGTCTTTGCGAAAGCTTACTCGGCCCAGTTCCCTTCTCGGTTCTTAAGTTGCGAATGATCGCTATTACGTCAGTCTCACCTTTTTTTTCTTGCTCGACACAGAGTTCATTCTCCCAACCGCACTTTGGTTTATCCAAGGGAGGGGTGGTACGACCTCCTGCCCAAATCACCCTTACATCTGGAGATTTTGAAATTTGTCACAGCAAGTTCAATGATGATTCATGTTATTAATTAAGACTTGACTGAGCTGAGCTAAGAGAAGCAAAAAAGTACAACAGAAGGGACCCTCCCTCTATATTTTCCCCTTCGTCTTTTTTCTTTATCTTTCCCGCCCCATTTTACGTCTACAAACGTCATTGTGAATGCGAGGTATTTGCATTTTAAATTGTTAGAAAATATGTTTAGTTGTTTAGAGCATCTCAAACCTGATAGAATGAAAGACGTGCTTTACCGTTAGAACAATTCCTTAGTAATTAATACTCACACTCTCTCCTCCGGGGAGGGCCCCACTGGGGATTTTGAATAAAATAGCAATAATAAATTCCCCTTCTTAACGTCTCCCGCTCGCTTTCATTATTCCTCTCCCCAGCCTCCCCACCCGCAACACAAAGAGGCCTCTGTGGACCGAGGAGAGAGATACCTACAGAACAGAGCTCACCTCTAAGATTGAAACCTCCTGTTGAGTAATTGTAATCAGCGATACCTTGAAAACTTCCATTTACGTAATATTTAAGAGAATAGTCTGGTTCTCTGTCACCAGAACTGTCCATACGAACCAGACCGGAGGCTCCTGAGGTGAAAGCAAACCGTTTTTTACGTTCAGAGTTTTTTAATTCCTAATACTCAAATCCTCGATCCTAAGGGTGCTGATATAAAAAAGGATGGGCGGAGGAAAGAAGATGGCAAACCTCGTGTGACAAGCGTGACAATAACTTCATCTTGCTTTAGACGGATCTTTTTCAGAAAACTAGAACATAGTAAGGTTAAGTGAAGATCACGATCGACAAAACTGACAAGTTATCCCTGTCACGTTTGTCTCACACCTTCCTCTTCACCCTCTTCTTTCTGCAGTCTTGTTGCGTAAGCTCACTAATCAGGGACGACCGATTCAGTTATAGAAAGAAGCTCCCCGTGAAACCTTACCTTCAAATTCTCTATTCAGCATTCTCTGTACTATTGCTCGACCGTCCTTTTTACTGCCCCCTGCCGCAAGAGTTTCATTCAGAGCGTTGGCATACAAATAGATAGCATCGTAAATCGCTCCAGCGTACACCTCAACCTGACAACGAATAAAAATGATTAGGATAAATTTCTGAAAATTTCCCCCAAATTTCTTGATTAACAAACGTAATTAACGACCGCTCTGTCTTCTGTGTTTTTAGGGTGCAGAGGGCTATTTGCGGGTTCTTAAAACTCTCCCTTTCAGATCGAGGCTCAGTGCAAAGCTTTTGTTGTGTAAATGAGTTTTATTGTATGAAAATAAAAAAAAAATCATTTTCAAATCAATAGCTTCGCACTCAGCCTCGCTCTGAAAGAGAGGCTTGAGGCTACTCGGAAATGGCCTATTGCGCATGCTCACAACATAACAATCCCATCTTTCTTATTTCACGTATATTTTGTAATGAAAGTAAGCGATATCAAAGGAAGGGGTGCTGAATTACCTGTTCACTGTCATCTAGTTTTATGTAAAACGGGAAAGCGTTCATTTTTTCCCTGACTTCTTCTTTAAATGACTGCCACAGGGTCGTGGTGGGCTCACGCACGTGTATGCTCAGTATTCCACGGAACGCTAACGCCGCCTCAGCGTCTCGTCCGTCATTTCCCATAAACGTGTTATTTCCAATGGCGGCAGAAGGCAACAAGTTGACGGTTAAGAATGCGTAGTCACCGTTCAACATTCCAAAATCCAGAGCTTGTAGCATCAGAGCACGCATGTCACCTCCGTAACAAAGAATTACAAAAACTGAAATGCAAGGAAATACGAAATGTATCTTACGGTCAGTCTGATAAAACCAATTGCGGCTAATTGCTTACGACATAATATTGCCAATATCGAACTACTGGAGGTCTTAAATCTCAGTATATATCTTAGTTACCAGCATTGACAAGTAAATCAAAAGGAATATAATAGAAAAGCATAGAAAGAGGCCAAAAAATGGAAACTGATATAGAACATACCAATTTAGTAGCAAAAGATTAGTAGTTATTTATCGGTACACCGATAAATGGAATTGAGATATTTCTACTAATAAAAAATTGGTAAATTTCACTCGATTCATGTCATTTTATTTATTTTTGTGAGACCCTTGTCCGTTAATATACTTATGAGAAAAGGCAGACCCAAAACGCAAACGGCAATTATGAATACTGACATTGTCACCCGCAAAAAAAGAGAGAAAAAACAGTGTATTTCACACAAGATAGGTATAAAATAACATGATCTTTTGAGCGAATGGGACTATTGCTGTTGATATGTTTAGTGACTGGCGTTTTGAACTCTTCAGAAGTCGCCAATTGCCATGTGCTTTCTTGTGAAGGACTGTCTGTCATAGTGAACAACAGCCCCACTGATTTAGGGGGACTGTACTCATGATATTTCACCTACTAATGACATGGCCTCTGGGTTCAAACCCTTAACATACAATATACTACTCACTTCTTGCGGTCTCTTTTGCGCGCGATAAGATACTATTATATTCCTCTCTCTCTGTAACTAAAACGTGGCCAGGGCTCAGAGTTCGCAGGTACCGTATATCAATATCATTCTGTAAAAAGACTTTCATAAGCCCAGTCATAGCCAACTGCCAAATGCTTTCGGTTGAAGCTAGGATTCCAATGCTATTCCAGTGGAAATACTGAAAAACCGACAGAAAGAGATCTCCCATTTTCGAAAAGGATCCAACAGTTCTTGCGAAGGAAGGATAGATTGTTTTTTCGGAGAGTTTTGACGACTCGCATCCCCAAGAAACCATCGGAAGATTCCACGAGGCGGCTAAAATGGCGGCCGGTTCACAAATAATATCACAGCCGTCACCAATAATCGCGTCAACACCCGAGATTTTGAACTCCACGGCTTGGTTAAGTCCTTCTGCAGCAAGACACATTGAGTCATTCCACAGGAATGTCATGTTATAGCCTGGTAGAAGATTAGGATTACGGTTGATTCGATCCACAGCAATGGTTATTGCTGAGGCAGAAGTCTTGCCAATTGGCCAGTAGCCAGTCATAGGGAGAAGAACGCCGATTTTTACTTCGTGCTCATTGTCGTTGCCTCCCGAATTTGAATCATGGCTGTGGGCAGACGTTTGGGATGGAAGCAAAATATACATACAAACATCAAGAGCAAAAACAATCAAAAGGATATTTCTCCATTGATGAAAATCCATTACCCTTTATAATCAAGACAGTGCCAGTTTTTCTTTCTTTCTTTTTTTCGGTCGAGAAAACAAAGTAGCTACTTCGAGGAGGCTTTGATCTAATATGCAAATTTATAAGCGTTTTCGATGACGTCAGGGTCTTTTATCCTTCAGTGCCTGGGTGAGTATGAGGCTTCCCTGACACAAAGGAGACCGATTGAAAGATCTTATACATGTATACATTTTCCTTATTAAAATTATTTCCAAACTTTCAACAAAACATGCCTTTAAATTTTCATGAAGGAATACTTTCAAACGAAAAAGCAAACAAAGGAATCCGTGTGACGCACTGGTAAACTACCTTTTTAAAGTCACAAAGAAATCTGAAACATGAAACACTTAGTCTCCTTCGAACCTCCCATAAGCTACTAACCCACATGGCATCGCTTATGACAGGCCCCAACGATAGTATAACTGTTAGCTTATGGGAGGGGTCGCTGACAAGAAGTAGTCGCACATTGGAGGTTTGACTTTACTTTATTTTGCAAATCGTTACTATTGAACGAAATGACTAGCTATCAACACGCCACTGACAACTTTTAAAGTTACACAATCATTTCTTTTCTTTTCCAAAGATATTTACATCGAGACTAAATACCATTTGTTCTTTTACCAAGAGAGTATAACCAAGAGAGACTATTCTCTCTTGCTTTTACTCAGTCATTAATTTTGTCTTTAAGAGGTAAGGTGAGCGCGACAGCGAGGCTAATTACTGCAGGTTAGATTATTCTTTCACTATCGGTTCTTGCTGATCTCTTCAGGAAATTCTCCTTTCAGTTGATTCGTAGTCTGACGGTTTTCACGAGCATCACTAGTCCAGCCAATCCTGTCAGTGTACACATGGCGAGGAAGCGACGCACGGTCTGAAACAACAATAAAAGATGGCAAGTGTTGACAATGAAGAAGGCCTACATCGGACAAGGGTCTCTCGACAACCCGAAAGAGCACAAGCAACCTTCGGGCCCGTAGACTTCTACAAAAAAAATAAATAATATTGAGGGAAAATAAAGATTGTTGTTGTCGTATTTTGAGCTTGCGCGAGACTGAGTTGGTGTTGTATCAGACTAAATTATGGGACTGTTTTGAAAAGACTTTCCCTTTTATTTTATTAGCTCTTACGAGGCCACACAGGAGGCTGGGTCAAAATTCGTCCCCCGTCCCATAGTACAATTTGACCTAACACCAACCCAGTCTCAAACGCAACCTCATTATTTTCACAAAGGAGTTCCTTGCGAGGTTGTAAGAAAAAAATATCCAACCTTTTGTTGCCATTCAGACCTTTTGATCACATCACTGTAGGGTGTTTCTGTCGTATATCAATATCATTCTGTAAAAAGACTTTCATAAGCCCAGTCATAGCCAACTGCCAAATGCTTTCGGTTGAAGCTAGGATTCCAATGCTATTCCAGTGGAAATACTGAAAAACCGACAGAAAGAGATCTCCCATTTTCGAAAAGGATCCAACAGTTCTTGCGAAGGAAGGATAGATTGTTTTTTCGGAGAGTTTTGACGACTCGCATCCCCAAGAAACCATCGGAAGATTCCACGAGGCGGCTAAAATGGCGGCCGGTTCACAAATAATATCACAGCCGTCACCAATAATCGCGTCAACACCCGAGATTTTGAACTCCACGGCTTGGTTAAGTCCTTCTGCAGCAAGACACATTGAGTCATTCCACAGGAATGTCATGTTATAGCCTGGTAGAAGATTAGGATTACGGTTGATTCGATCCACAGCAATGGTTATTGCTGAGGCAGAAGTCTTGCCAATTGGCCAGTAGCCAGTCATAGGGAGAAGAACGCCGATTTTTACTTCGTGCTCATTGTCGTTGCCTCCCGAATTTGAATCATGGCTGTGGGCAGACGTTTGGGATGGAAGCAAAATATACATACAAACATCAAGAGCAAAAACAATCAAAAGGATATTTCTCCATTGATGAAAATCCATTACCCTTTATAATCAAGACAGTGCCAGTTTTTCTTTCTTTCTTTTTTTCGGTCGAGAAAACAAAGTAGCTACTTCGAGGAGGCTTTGATCTAATATGCAAATTTATAAGCGTTTTCGATGACGTCAGGGTCTTTTATCCTTCAGTGCCTGGGTGAGTATGAGGCTTCCCTGACACAAAGGAGACCGATTGAAAGATCTTATACATGTATACATTTTCCTTATTAAAATTATTTCCAAACTTTCAACAAAACATGCCTTTAAATTTTCATGAAGGAATACTTTCAAACGAAAAAGCAAACAAAGGAATCCGTGTGACGCACTGGTAAACTACCTTTTTAAAGTCACAAAGAAATCTGAAACATGAAACACTTAGTCTCCTTCGAACCTCCCATAAACTACCAACCCACGTGGCATCGCTTATGAGAGGCTCCAACGATAGTGCTATGATAACTGGTCGCTTACGAGAGGTAGTCGCACATTGGAGTTTTAACTTTACTTTATTCCTTTTCTTTTCCAGAGATATTTACACTGAGACTAAATACCATTTGTTGGTTTACCAAAAGAGTATAATCAAGAGAGACTATTCTCTCTTGCTTTTACTCTGTCATAAATTTCGTAAGGTGACCGCGACAGCGAGGCTAATTACTGCAGGTTAGATTGTTCTTTAACTATCGGTTTTGCTGATCTCTTCAGGAAATTCTCCTTTCAGTTGATTCGTAGTCTGACGGTTTTCACGAGCATCACTAGTCCAGCCAATCCTGTCAGTGTACACATGGCGAGAAAGCGACGCACGGTCTGAAACAACAATAAAAGACGGCAAGTGTTGACAATGAAGAAGTCCTACATCGGACAAGGGTGTGCATAGCCTTTTGACAACACGAAGCAAAATTAGCACTAGCTACTTTCGGGCCCGTAGACTTCTACAAAAAAAGTAAAATTGGGGGAAAATAAAGATTCTTGCTGTTTTATTTTGAGGTTGTGCGAGACTGAGTAGGTGTTGTATCGGACTGAATTATGGGACTGTTTTGAAAAGACTTTCCCTCTTACTTTATTGGCTATTGTGAGGCCGCACAGGAGGCTGGGTCAAAATTCGCCCCCTGTCCCATAATGCAATTTGACCCAACACCAACCCAGTCTCAAACGCAACCTCATTATTTTCACAAAGGAGTTCCTTGCGAGGTTGTAAGAAAAAAATATCCAACCTTTTGTTGCCATTCAGACCTTTTGATCACATCACTGTAGGGTGTTTCTGTGTACGTCACCTAAAACAAAGAATTGACATCACCTTTTAGCAGTTAACTGAGAGGAGAAGTGCAATACTGTTTATGGATTTTAAAACATTACGTATGGGATGCAGATGAAATTATAAAGCTTAGTTATTCAAGTGTACAGTGAAGTCAGTGAGGCTTGGCCGATAAACAGTGCTTTCCTGTGGTGATCTTTAGTTTGACCGGCAAGAGTTATAACTTTTGAGATCGTGTATTAAATATAAAGGTGCGATCATTCAGTTCACCCCTTATTAAGCCCCAATATAAATTCTCCACACTGATCTCCATACGTTTCATCATAGAATTAGTTGGGAGAATTTGATACAAGATCAAAGCATCTTCCCTTAGGTGATCATATTATTCATTTTCATATAAACCTTCTCTCTTGATTATGTTCCAATATTGTTAAGAGAAAATTAAGGTTCGTTCTGGACAGGGCATATGAGTTGTCATGGATCTGCACTAATTACTTCATGAAGCAGAATGTAGTGAGCTCGCTTACCATCGTATGGAGGGGAATAAATGTCTTGGGCATCAGCCAATTAAAGATGCTCAGCAGTTTTCGCTCCAACAGAAAAGAATATGAATTAACCAAGGATCTCATCTGGTAAAAAAGACAACAACTCAGCAAGTGAAACTTTCTTAGACCCACAGACGCTGCAAGAAAGGCAGCGTGAACGAAATAAATACATGAAATCCGGAGATCTTTAGCTAGTGGCCCTACTCTGACCGCTACCTGCTGCTGAGTTACGACTAAAGGTATTTTATAGCTGGCGAAACCTTGCGTACACTGATCAACGTTTCAGCGAGCATCTTCGAAGCGTTAAGAAAAACGTGCCGGGTTTTCCTGTTACTGAGAATTTTAACACAGCTGGTCACTCCATTAACGACGCTCTTTCTAACGTACTTGTAATTCCACTGATGAAAGACTAAGCTAAAAGCATTTGGAAAACAACTGCATGAAAATCACGGTCTTGTTCATATTTAACTTTTTATTGAACATTTCCCTCAGTTACCTTTTTTAAAAGGCACTTTAAAAAGTGCCACGCAGCTCACTACAACTTTTTCCGCATTTAGCAGCTAGGCCTTACAAAAGCGTAATGGTGAGAATGGCGGCTGTGATGTCCGATAACCCAATCCGTATTTAAATCATAGAGAGTGGAGTGGCGAGTGCCACTGTATTGTCCCGGGGGGGTGGGGGTACTCCCTTATATAAGCCATATAGGTATGTGCCGCCCCATCGGGTAGGGTTTTTGCGCCGTTTGGGTCTGAAAACGGGTATACACTTTGCCCATTTTGGTCTGGAATCGGCTATAATTTTCGAGAGAACTACGGAGAGTATCAACGTATTTATCGTTCCAATTCCAAATGAGTAAGAAAAAAAGAGAAATATGCGAATTCGAAATGGATTTGGAGAATTTTTTTTGTTTGCACTCTAACGGCCAAGTAATGATAACATAATTTCTGCCTAAAGGCCAGGTTTGAAAACGGGTATGGATTTTAGAGGTCTAGTCTGAAAACGGGTGTGGAAAATTACATTTTTTGGTCTGAAATCGGGTCAGGATTTGAGGAACCGGGCGGCACATCTCCACCAAGAATTCCCAGGAGTACCCTTCTCCCCCGCCCCCCCCCGGTGTATTGTCCAAACCACCAACTGACGGCGCCATTCCTCCCCCGCCTCGTCCCCAGGAATTTTCCGCCTTAGAAAATAGAGAAAGCCCTGGGGACGAGGTTGGAAATAAAGATCATTCACCTCCAAGTAATTGTACATGGATAAATCACACACTGCTTCAGCATCTTTGTTTCTGAGATTCGAGTATTCCTCAAATACAGCACCTGATAAAAAGCAGACCAGAAAAAAAAGCTCGAGTCCAAGACTTGTATGATCCCAGCTTACTGGGTGACAGGGCTGGGTAGATACTGAAAATCTGGCGATGTTTAGTCACTTACCAAAGTTGTTTCCATGCTTCTCTAGAAGTCTGTCTAAAATAAGACAATCTTCAAATGCCTAAAAAAATAGACATGGTTACTCTTGACTTCAACCTGAATGACCAGTACAGACATTGAGAATTCTTACTAAATAAGTTCTAGAAACACTGATCTGAGTTACTAACTTTGAATTCTTCTGAAACTTGTTAGAAAAGGTAAATAATAATAATAATAATAATAATAATAATAATAATAATAATAATAATAATAATAATAATAATAATTATGATCTTTATTTCCACAAGATAAAGACACATATCCTATGTTACAACTGTCATGAATACCGTAATACCAGAAGTATTTTAAGGGCATTACGTCAGGGGTACCGACTGACTCTTTGAGCCAGTTTTCTTTCTTTCTTTCTTTTATCAAGGCATATGTTCACACAAAGTGGTTTGCATGCCACACTGAATTTCCAGCAACTGATGTAACTGACAGATCGGTTCCCTTTTGTCTATTATTAGCCTGCGAGAGCATCCGGTTTTTTCGGCTCAAGTTTCTAAATAAGTCCACAACAAGTTACTTAAAAAGAGACACTAACACTGTTCATTCCTTGTGCATAGAAGGGAACCATGGCATGAGCTGCATCGCCAATGATGAGCGCTTTATCTGAGTGATGATAAGGCTTGCACTGTGAACAACAACAAACAAAAGGAAAACAAATACAAGGTGTGCCAGGTTAAAATAAGACTTGTTCAACCTGTAAACTGAGAATCATTTTTTACAGAACTCATTTTCGATTTCTCACGAAATGCTGCATTTTTAGGGAGGCACTCGAGCCAAATTTTACACGCAGACCGACTCTATTCGTGAACAACTCTTTGTCAAAGAAGCTGTGTCAAAATCAACTATTCAAAACTGGGCAATAAAATGAGTTAAAATCGAATAGTCCTTCATTTTATTTATACATACCCTTCATGAGTAGGAATAAATAGTTAGAGCAGATGAAACCTGTTATTACCAACCTTTATTGACACCATGGGCAACACTGGATTTTTGAAGAAATCTTCCAGAATTCTTTCCCTGAAATGTAGACATGCGTACGCCTTCAGCTTTAAAAACACTCGGGCAAAAGAAAAACCTAAAACTCCTTAATAACATCCAAAATACTGACCAGGTAGGATCAGGACCAACGATCCGCCTGGCCCCTGGGTGCTCGGTCAAACCTGGACTCTACTGCGAGCCTCAATGTCACCGAGTTCCATCGTTACCCTTTCCTAGACTCCACGCACACAAAAGAATTAAACAGAACTTCTAGAGACTAGGCTGATGAGGCCCTACAAAAGAGCCGGTCTTATGTTTAAATCACTTGGGTTCCAGATGGAACCAACACCATGTGAAAAAACAAGCCTCTCCGACTGTAAAAGAAACTTTTACCATGCAAAAAAAATGAGCAATTTGGGTTCCCTGTGCATTGTCAAGTGATCTAAGAAATAAGGAGACCTTAAAAAGGTTCATCCTGGTGAGCAAAAATGCATTGCTTTTGGTCACAGTCAGGTACAGTAGACTGAATGCATTTGGGATTAACACTAGAGGCTATGTTCGTGAAAAAAGAACAGTTAACCTATATGGTAAACAAACAAGCGATACAATTGTATTCAGCAAACAAAATTTACTTACTCGCCCATAAGTTGGACAAAATTGGGAAATAGAGCGTTAAAGAAGTCGATTACATCTTCCTGTGGGAAAGAATCCATAATAATAGATATGAGAACGTACAAAACTGAATACAGTATAACGATAAAATCATTCACCTTTTTTGTCAAAGCGTCAAACTTTTCAAACGGCATGATGAGTGTACAGGTGAAAGACTGCTCCTACAAAAAAAGAAACAAAAGTCTGTATTTCCAAGTTCACATTTTATGTAAAAAGCGCAACAAATATTACTTTTACAAGACCTTATTGATGCTTCCTTTTGCAGGCACCTAATTTCACGAAAATGAAAGACGAAAACTTGGCAATTTTGAAGAAATGATGAAATGAACAAATCAGATCTGGGCACCAAGGGTGGAAGTCCCAGTTTTTTGGCTTTACCAAGATAATTATTTTAGTCAATCATACTTAGCGCAGAAATTCAAATAAACCAATCACATCTTGAAGCAAGTACTTGTAGCTGGCCCCTAGCACAGGAAAACTTGTCTGACCAAGTAGCGGAAAGTCACAGATGGTTTATGCTTTAATCTTGATCAGTTAAGGAAGTGACGCAAGATTTTTCAGCCAATCACAAACCAGAGCAAAAGCAATGCAAAACCATAGTACCTCAAAGTACCTCACTGTTTCACTGTTTACTTTCATCACTTAGAAACCGCTTTATTATGCATTGAGGTGGGTTAGTAGTGCAATGATTCCCATACTTTGCTATGAAAATTTACGCGTATACTTGTATCTTAGGTGGAAGATAGATAAAACACACCTTGTTTGGAATAGCAATCAGCATAAATGAGTCTCTGGGCCAAACATGCAGGTAATTTGCCTTAATGGCGTACTCTCCACTTTTGGTTGGTAGTAGCTGAAACTCTTTGTATCCATGTGGAATATACTCCTGGCTGAAGTCAAATCTAATAACGTAATAATGTCTATTCAGATGGTTTACCAACCCACTGTAATCAAATGAATGAAGGGATTACTCTGTCCGTGAGGAAGCGAAACACAAAACTTTGGTTTCATCAACTTACTTTTAAAAAATCAGTTAACTACACTGGTATCAATAAGATACCTTCAATTTGAAACTTTAAGAACGTTTTTGGCAACTTTTCCGAACAATTAGTAAATCAGCAGTTTATGTCGATAAAGTATTAGACTTCAAGCACTCAATTGCAAAATGACAACTTCACAGCTCTAAAATACTTTGCTTATCTTTCCCAAATATCTCTAGTGTGACATCCGACAAGTATGTCTATGTAATGGGGAAAAAACAAACCCTGTAGAACTTTTAAAATATACATCCGCCAGACTCCCCACCCAAAAAATGTTCGAGTCCTGCCCGAGTGGTCCGCCATTATGAAAGTCGTGGATAGGGAACTGCCGACCTACCCTCTCCAAAGCCAACATTAGCCCTTACTTCTCACTTAGGGCAAAATGTTGGCTTAGGGGTGGGGTAGGTGGGCAGTTTCCCAGAAACTTATAATGATGCAAATGTTCTTATCTGAAGAATAAGAGAATTACAAGTGCTTATACCTTGGTCTTTTCATCAGTTCATTTCTTATGGCTGAACGAGCACCATCTGCGCCAATAACAACCTCTGCATTGACTTCAATAGTCTTGCCATCAGGGCTAAGCCATAAATTCCAAATAAAAATCAGATAAACTACATTCTCGATCTTACAATTGCCTGTTTCTCTGTGCCAACGGGGACACAAGGACAACGCGTGAAAGCCCTCAACAGGCAACAAGAAAACATGCCAAGCTTATGAGCTTTATTTTATTGGTAAAAGGGAAAAGAGAAAAACAAGACGAGAGGGAAAACAATGGACTATGGAGTAACAAAGAGAAATTGAGATTGTTGCTTATTTTGTAGGAAAGAATGCAAAGAAAACCAAACTTCTCCAAATCAACTGAAAGAAAAAATGGTCAAGATAACGATGCTAGCTGAACCCATTCCATAACAGGTGATACCTGCTGATGTGTATTATAATAATAATGTTGTTTACCATAAGAAGGTTAGATGACCTTTGTCCAAGTTTACAGACACCAATTTGTGTTGAAAATGCAAGTTTAAATTGGAGAAGGACTCAGCAGCTAAAAGAGAGAGAGTATGCAAATAACTGCTTATCAGTTTGATTAAAAGAGTTCAAACACCAGTCCCCTTTCATTTCATTCCCCACCATAAACATTTTCTTACCTTGGTTAAAGTAAAAAAAATACAACAAAAAGAGAAAATAAATTGTCATAAAGTTTGTAAAGTAGTTGCAACTATCAAAATGAATTTCAATGTTTAAATGAATGCTAAATATCCATTAAAAATACAGGTACATGTACAAGAAGGGAAAACAAAGCACTTAGTACACTTAGAAGTTGGCTTAAATAATTAGAAGGCTCAAAAAACAGTCTAGCTCAATAACCATGAGCTTGTGGATATCAGTTTACACACCTGAAAGAAGCATCTCGTTTACTTTTCTCCGCTCCATTGCCAACAGAGGATACTAAAACAGAAACAAGCACATTTAAACAGCAATATGATTCCTGTCTATTATTTAATATTATTTTTTAAATATTAAAACAGAAGAAAAAGTAACTTGAATAACCACTTTTTTACACGAATCGACACTTCTGTAACTCAATTACAAGTAAAAGACCCATAATAAATTTGAAATTATACAACAAGTTTATCATAACTGTAAGTAGATATGGACATGCTTTGTGTCATGATAACATTTTATGCATATTGTTTTAAATCTAATCTAATGTGGTCTGCAGTTCAAAAGGTAGTGGTGATACCACACATGGCATGGGTAGGTTTTCCCTCTCCTCAAAAACTAACTTTCCAAATTCCTATTTTTTCATGGATGGCAGATGAAGAACCACTATGTGGAAAATGAGCTACACCTAAATCATTATTATCTTTATTCATTAAATATCTTACTGGTCCCTCTTGCTCATAATAAAGGGGCCTCTGATCCCCAGTTAGGGAATGCAGCATGCGACCATACATGGGCACGCCCAATGGCAAGACCTATAAAAAGACAAAATTAAATACCATGGCTGAGTTTCAAGCTCCAACCTTTCTGGAAAATTATTTAAAACCTAAGGATGAATGGAAGAAAGATTACAATTCTCCTGATCCGACGGCAGTTAAGTTCTGTTGACTCTTGTTTTGAAGTTGATTCCAGTCACCCTACTAATATTGATAGAAGTTGAATCCCCAGCCAAAGCTACAGACATCAGCCTGTAAACTATTATTATCAACATGGACTAATACAGACACAAATGTATGTGCTTACGTAATCGAGGACTCCTACGGCTTTTAACGCTTCAATACCGCGGGTTGAGAGAGCAAGATTAGTACTGCGACCACGAACAAACTTTAATAAACGAGGATCTGGAAAAGATATTGAGAACAAAATAACAATAAAAGCACTGAATTCACCTAGGAAATAACCAAAGAAGAAAAAAATCTTATCAAGTAGACGAAAATTATTGTAAAGGAGCATCATTCTGGTGATACAGAAGCATATGCTTCTGGGTGATAATTACCTTCACGTGCTTCATATAGATCAACCTTGAATCCTCTTTTCACCAGGAAAACTGCAAACAATGACCCAACCTGTACGTACAACACAAGGGCAGATAAATAATTTTTTCTTATAATATTCACAAATTGACCGATGTTGTCTGCAGTTGATATTGCTTGGGGGTCCATGAAAATTGAAAACAATTCAATTAAATAATTGAAGAGGAAACATCCCACATGATCCCTAGAACCGATAGAAAAAAGACCAGTAGTAATCACAACGGAAATCCATCTCAACGAATATAGTCGCCTTAGTTTGTAGCGATGGTATGGAACTCTGAAGTCTTAGCTTGTTTCAAATCTCGATCGCAATCGAAGATCTGACTCGATATGGCCTTGGTCGATATTTTCTTCAACGATCGTGGCGATCGTATGAAAGAGAGAAACATCTCGTATTTAAAGCTAAATAATAATAAATGATGTTACCAAACCACCCCCGACTATAACAATCTGTTTTGAGCTCGTCTCTTGAAAGTATGCATTTGAAGCAGCCGCCATATTTCTTGTTCCTAGTCCTCCACTACTTCTCGGCCACTTCAAAATGGCGGACGACATCGCAGTTGCCGCAGAACAGCAGCCAGCGAAAAAGGTGGCTGTTGTTGGCGGTGGCTTGGTAAGTATTTCTGGAAATACCTCAGAATATATATTCTAATTTATGTTATCACGTTTTATCACTTTCGACTGAGTTCTTAGCTGTTTTGCACCGAAAAATTACATCATAAATGTCACTGAATGTCGGTCTTTACATGTGCTTGATGAATCTTGTTATCAGTCTTGTTTTAGAAGTTCTGGCAATTCTTTCTTTCGCGAAATTCTGTTTTTAAGTTATATTTAGTTCAAGAAAATCAAGATTTTTTAAATATCAGCTGTTGCGTGTCCAAAAAAATAAGTGGGAGGAACATTACGGTCTTCTGATGGATTATGTAAGCGCACTGCACATTTACGTTTATTCTGAGCATAATATGATCTTACTAGGGTAATAACTGGAGTATCAGGCATACTTATATTTAGCATAATAAGATCTTGTTTTGCAGTTGTGAAGACTGTACGCCAAATTTTTCAGCCAACAGCTGCTGGAATGCACAAATTTTATAAAAGCATTGACATTATAGGAACTGAATACCTAGACAACCTTTAAAGACTTGAGCTAAGTGCATTATTTTTCGCATGGTCGAAGACCCTGGTTACCTCGATCATTTTGCAAGGCTTCCAAAGCACTAACACAAGAACATTACTTTCAAAAGTAGTGTCAAAAACTGTGTAGGAATACTTATTTAGCTGATGCAGGAAGAAAAAAAGTCATCATACTTTGGCATAATTAGGAGCATAATCATTATTATTCATCCAGCAGAGCATCATTTTCAGCATAATGCCTTTGTTTCTTGAGTAACACTGAGAAGCATAATACTCAATTTAACGATCATAATCAAGGTGCAAACAAAGGGAGTTTTACAGCTTGCCATGCAGGCAAGCTTTAGCTAGCATGTACTAGCCCAAACGTTATTTCAAGTAGCACAAAAAAAGAATTTTTGATGAGCAGGTTTGATTACAGCTCTTCTGTGATATGAATTCCCCAAAAAACATCACTTGCCTGTGGGGCAACTTAAGAACAGAACCTACTAGCCTGATAGCAAATTCCACTAGTCCCAGGGCTATCAGACACTACTTTCTTTGCATGCTGATAGTTCATCAGACACTAGTCCTAACTGCATAAGTTTTAGGTGCCGAAGTCTGATATGTAGCAGGGGCGGATCCAGGAGTTTTTTTAGGAGGGGGTGCACTCGTCTCTTGCTCTACTTCAAAACCAATAAACCACATAGTTTTTTTTTTTTGCAGAATACCAGTTGTATTAGAAAACCGCAGGTCCTTTCGGGGAGGGGGGGGGTGCGCACCCCCTGCACCCTCCCCCTAGATCCGCCCCTGTGTAGGCATTTATAAATGAACTTCACAATGCGAGCTTAGAGCTTAGGTGAACATAAGACTACTTAAAGTATGCTAATATCAATGTGAATATCACATTTCAAAACATAAAATTCATTTTTTTGACATTGTTATTGTGATGAATTTTTGTGGTAGCTGAATACAATGTAGCCTTGATTTACACGCTCATCTAAACATAATTTCCATGAGTAAAACATAATAATGGAAAGCAAACTTTTTCAGGCTGGAGCTTTGATTGCTGTTTATCTGGCCAAACGTGGTTTCAGAGTAGATGTTTATGAAGCTCGGAAAGGTATTTATCCTGTCAAGATTAACATTGTAACTGTTTCATTCCCAGAGTTAATTTTATAAAACAGGGCTGCGCTCTACATCAAAGGTCATATTAATCTTAAGTTTGAATGCTTATTTTGTTCAAGACACTCCAACTTGTCAACAAGGATTACATCCAACTGAGCAATAAGATCACATGACTTCTCGGTCAGATGATCTCACACGAGAATTATAATAACTGGGAAGTTCAAGTCTCCTTTCATGGCCTACTTGACATGATGAAGCTAAAATTTTTGCGATTCCTCAGTCATTTCTTTGACTCTTTGCAAGAGAGAGACCTGGGATCAGTCCCTGCATTGTCCTTCTTATAAGGAGTGGCTGTACAGTAGAAACCCGCAACTAAGAACCTAAAAATTAAGAACCTGTTAGCCTAAAATAATTGGTCATTTATACCCTCTATAGACAAGAACCTATTTAGCCTAAGAAATTTAAAACAAGTTCTTATTTTCTAAAATCATACTAGTACATTACAGCTGCATTGCAAGAATCATATTTGAAGCAAAAAAAGCAGATTGCCATTGCTGTAAAAATGTTTTTTAAAGAAAAATGAGTGCAAGATATGTAGACTTACAAAGCATACTAAGCAATATGTACATATTTTAATTGTTTTTTCTCCAGGATTAAGAACCCATTTTAAGAACCTAAATAGCCTAAAATTCTGTTAACTACCATTTATATAAGAACCTGTTTAGGCTAACTCCTAAAAATGTAGGTTCTTAGTTGTGGGTTTTTACTGTATCGGGTATGAAGAACAGTCAATTATAAATGGTTCCAGCTAGTTGGTGTCCATTCTCTTCAATTATTGTGGGAGGCAAAATATCAAACAAAATGATTATTATTCATTACAAAGAAGCTAGATGCCAAGCTCTTGCTTCTAGTAATGTATCACTATTTCAGAACTGAAAACTGTGACTGATGTATTGGTTTTAAACTTGAGCACTCTGAACTATGACGGATAAAGTGCATTGCTGTTTGGTTTTCAGACCCTCGAAAGGAGCCAACAATAAGAGGAAGAAGCGTCAACCTTGCTTTCTCTGTCCGAGGAATAGCAGCTTTAAGTGCCGTAGGTGCCGAGGGACCAGTAAGTCAAGCTGTGTCTATGATACAAAATTGTAATGTTGTTTTAATCTTTATGTGTAAAAAGGAAACACAATTTACACCATTCACAAATTTTTACTGGTAGTGTCATCCAGTAACTTGCATTACAACCACAAAAATTTAGTGCCTGACAGTTTTACACATTTTGGCCTTCATTAGATTGCACCTGTTGTAAAATACTTTACGACCACTTCTCCTACCATCTTCATCCCCGTGAAAAAATAGTTGGTGGGATCCCTGTAACTGCAGAAACTTCACTTGTTTCACAAGGTTTGGGAGAAGGGCAACACAGTAGTTCTGGGAGTGAATATTCTGCCAAGGGTGGGGGTAAAAGGGGAGAGCAGTAATATTGTTACCTCTGCGTCCTGCATCCTTGACATATAAAAATACCCAAAGACACAAAATAACTCACGGCATGCTTCCCAGAGGATGCAAAGATTGATTGATCGATCTGAACATGTGTTTTTCCTAGACAAGTTATTTAATTTCTGTGGCAGTTATTATGGCTGTTGTTTAACGATGCACATTTCTTTTAGCCTTTGTTGTGCTTTAATATAGAAGGACTTTATTTTAATTTCCATATACTGTAATACAGAATTTTAGAGTCCGTCTTCATATTAACTGTCTGATTACATAGAGACCGAAGCATTTTCAATTTTGGACTTGTTGTTTTTCTAACTGGGACTCATGATTTTTCACAAGATGAGTCCCAAGACTCACCATAACTTCTTGTAGCAAGATCACTGGGAGAGGCCTCAGCAAAAAGATCTGCCTCTTAAAAGAAGGAGAACTTGACATGGTGACCCTTCATCTGAGGGTCAGCCTCCCCTATACACCCCACCTGCCCCCTTAAATTATTATAATGACCAGATACCTTTAAAAACATCTTATCAGTATCATTAACATGTCAGACCTTCTACCACATGTTCTAACTGGAGCATTTACAGTAACTTCTAATGATTTATAGGGTGAAAGCAAGAAATGCACATGTGATTATGTAATAGACCCACAATATTCTGATTTCATCCAATCAGGTTCTTTCTCTCGGTATACCAATGCATGCACGCATGATTCATTCTCACAGTGGTGAGACAACACCCATCCCATATGGAAAACAAGGACAGGTGAGTTGTTCTCAGCACTTTATCCTTCTATGCCTACCTCAACCCTATGTCTTTATACTACAGCTGCATAACTAACACTAAGATTTTAAAATAACACAGTCAAACCCCACTTCGTGGACACCTCATTATTGCGGACAGTCTGCTTTGTCCCTGGGGAAAGAAAGCCCTTACATTTGTTTTGAATTCATTACCCACTTAATATGGACACCCTGTTAATTCAGACACTTTCGTTAGCCACCTCAGTGTCCGTATTAACGTGGTTTGACTGTATAAAGTTCTCTGGTAAGAATACACAGTCCCACTTGCACATGCATAAAGATCAGACAATATTAATGACACCATATCGGCTCCTTGATACACAACAGTTTTTGTAAACTGTCAGCTCTCTTATAAATGGACACCATTTGTACTACCAAGCATCTGAGGTTTCTGTGAAGAAAAAGTTGACTAACATTTTTGTGTACGTAAATTTACTACTCAGATTTACTGGCCTTTCTTAGTTTCTTTCCTTTTCTGGAGATATCACTGTTGCTGTAGTCTGTATTACTTCTAATACCCATATTAACACATTACAATATTATATTATAATTATTTTTTGAAAAAAATGAATTACTTTTATTTGTAGCTGTAATTCTATCAATCCATTTCAGTCTTTAACTGTATTATTATTCTAACAGTATCTGTTATCAGTTGAGAGGCAAAAGCTGAATAAAGATCTTCTGTCTGGTAAGTGTTAGGACTCTCCTACTGTATCTTTTTTTTTCTGCTAATTAATATCTATACATAGGTATATCAAAACGTGGGTTGAAAAGGTACAAAAATCCAGATGTTTGAAAGCACTGATGAAAAGGGAGTACCCTCAAAACGTCTGGATTCTCATACCTTTTAAAGGCACATTTTGATAAACTTTGTAAAAATAAATCAATCATTTGTGTTGCATAGTATCTTCCAGTTTTCTATCTGTATATTTCTTTCTTAACCCTAGATAGATATATGTGACTTGTAATGCAAAA